AAAAGACTTCTTTATGCTCTACCCCGCTCAACTAAACAGCAGTTCTGATGTAAAGACGAACAAGTAGGAGTTGATGTTCAGTAAGTTGTTCAGTAGCAAGCTATGTTTTACAATACATTACTGATAGGGCAATATCTTCTGTCATACCTTGTGACCATAATGCACCCGAGCTCTATACAAGTCTTCTATAGTCACCAGGTGGGCAAGATTGAATGGATCTGGTTGCTGCAGGATTTTGCTCAAATAAGGTCTGCAATATTCCTGATTAACAAGTTTAAAAATTTGACTGAGTGCTCTGCCTTACATGACCGTGCCAATTAAAGAAACAAATCACGACAGTGTGTTGAAGGTTTCTTACTTCAATAAAGATGGCTGTATAGTTGCTTTTTGCAACAGCTCCTTGTCAGGTACTTCATTATGTTGTTCCACATAACCCCTAATCTGCGTTATGCTGTTCCAGCGCTTTGCTTCCCGAAAAACTCTTTTCATATCAATCTGAATATCAAACTGCATTTCCTTACCAAGTGTATCAAAAAGTAATTTGTTAAGAGAATCGCAGAGAAATTCAATGCGCAGTAATTAAGAAACACACAAAATACGTTCATAAAGTGCAGTTTCCCCCATAAACCAAGTCAACTACTAATTCTCTAGACAAAGAGTCATGCCCCCAGAAAACTAGCAATTACCCACTAGACCATTCAGAAAAACGACTAACGCTGCGCCCCCACTTTTTCCGTAGCTTCAGCAAACCTCGCAACAAGGGCCTCTTGAGACATGTATAAACTGCAACTGCCACATGCACTTTAAGACGAGATTCAATGAAATGTAATTCATTTTAAGTGCGAAAGCACCAAGTAATAGCATTTGGGAACAAACCTAACAGAAATCTCGAAGTACAAATGAACAGTAAAACAGGTTCATAATAAAAAATCTAAGTACACCGATTGAAAACCCATCTATTTCTTTCAAAAAATGTCACAAGACAAAAGAAACGGGACGGAAGAACATGTATAATGTAATACTCATGGTGAAAAATATTCGCTTAGGATACACCTACTAACTGAAGGTAAATGGCTGCCAAATCACCTAAGCCAAAAATACTTCCTAATTCCACAAAATCAAAAGACGTCTCTACATCTTAAAACTATTAACAAAATTTTTTCATATGCTATCTTTATTTCGCTAATAAAGAATGCTAAGCATGTGCTGATAAATATGAGACGATAAAAGTCAATAAAACAATGTAAAAGAAATTTAAATGAGCAAAACTATTAAGACTTTTGATAACACAGAGATACCTTGATTAATTATTAACAAAGAACTGTAAAATAAAAGCAAAAAAAAAAATGAAACGAAAATTACACCTATTATGACACACTAAAATCAGTTAAAAATAATATTTTTAGACCCAGTTCAATCACTTGCATAACGCATAAAGACATTTTCAAAAGCATCTTTAGGAACTGAAAAAAACTACACATCACACAAATTGAATGAAGAATCAATTGAGTTTGAGCAAAGGGAAGACTATCGCAGAACTCTTGAAATCGAAATCGATTTTCGACTGAAATTAAAGTAAGTTTAATAATTAAGAGAAACCAGCTATACAGGTCTTTAAAAAAAAGTCCGCAAAAACAAGCAGCGCTAAAGACTTTTATAACAGGCAAATAAACCAAAAAAAAGTCATTTCCAGGAACCCAAAAATATTCCAAGCTTACATCAGTTTTCTTTCCAGAAGAAAGAATCCTCGAAACTACAGCATTCCTCTTACAAATACCCGCAACTGCAGTAGTTTCAGAATCACTGGTTTCACCGTTTTCATAATTTTCAATGTGAGATCGTGCAAGGTCAAAAGCTTCTGCAGCATCCAAAAAACAAGCTTCACTGCCTTTTGCTTTTACTTCCTCAATCCTGAAGCAGGTACTTCTCCTGTTATTCATTCAACTTTTTACAACCACATTCACGTGGCTATAAACGTAAGACTGATTGACTAGTTCAATTTTCATTATTTGTAAAGAGAAACAATTCCATCAATTTCTAGCTGTTCGAAATAAACCAATATGGAATTTAAGGGTAAGAACAGAAGCGAAAGAAGTAATTAGAGCCCAAAAATACAGGTATTTTAGAATCTCTACCAACTAATTGCAAAAAAAACGGTTAAAAATACTGGTATTAAAGTAACTTATCACCTGGATATGCGCAGGTACTGTTCATAAGATATACGCATAGGCGGTAACAAAGAGGAAAACGGCTTCATACGATGCTCAAATCGTAATCGTTCACTGTTAGCATCGCCGGTTGGCACACGAATTTTACCGCTCACTATCATGCCAACAGAAAACTGAAAAAAATGAAAACGAACCAAATTACTGAAATACTCTGTAATCACGTCACGAGCAAAAAAGTACTTTAGAAAGGCAGTACTAAAACCAAAAAGAAATTCACTTAGGAAATGTCTGTACAAAACTCAAAAAAATAAACTTCAATACTAGAGCTGACAGAAGCAGCAGAGAAAATAAAAGCGATTAGTTGAAGACCTTACTTTAAAAAATGCCTCGGCAAGAGCCATGTTGGCTTTGTAGGAAAGAAGTAAACGCTGACCAGTGTTCACAAGTTTTCTCAAATCCGCCTCCTTTTTTCCTTTCAAAGCTTTCTTCTTGTCAACCTTCTTCTTCTTCGAAGCTAAAACAATACAGCCCTTTGACTGTACATCAATGTTGCAAATTTACCACAAAAGAACTGTTTGAAAGCCCCCTTGAAGCTATTTAATAAGATGTGAATAACACTAAATAAATGCCTTGCCAGAATCTAAACAGTGAGGACAAATATTAAGTAGGAGAGACAGTTACTTAGAAAGAAATGTTCTGCTTTATCGCTAGTCTTCCAGCCTATCAAACGAAAAAAAATATAAATACAACATGAAAGTATTTCATGCTCAGAAGTAAATAAAATTTAACTACATTTAAGGTAATCGGCGATGACAAGGTTGTTCGAGCGATCCACAGCACTCATCAACCATTTGAATACCACTTCTCCCAAATACCTATATAATAAACAATAAATATTTTAAAGCTCTGTTTTAAAAACCAGATAATCTGAGAAATCATTTAATAATGATTTCTAAGAGGAAAGCCTCCTAGAAACTATCAGACTTTAAGAAGCTTTGCTTCAAACGTACCAGTAAACATATGGATATTCATAAGGCACAAAAAGCTCTAAATGAAATGATAAATAAAAGTGATATTCAATTAGTAACAAAGCATGATATATAATGAAGGAGCTTATGGAACGTCCGCTTTCCATCATCTGACCGCCTAAATAAAAGCCTAAAGCACTTTCCAATTTCTCCACCTGAAAAACAGAATGCATAATAAAAGCAATCAAGAAACTGTTTCAAAACGATATGAAGAAAAAGCTAAAAAAAAGAGGAAACATGCCGCCTGACCTTCAATATATGACACAACAAAATCTTGCACAATGAGCTTCCGAAAAATTGATGTAGAAGCTTTAATGTAAAGTCGGACGAGGAAAGAACTGCATTCTCATTTATTACAACAAATTTCTATCTTCTAATCAGAAGAAAAATCTATAAAAGAACAGCAAACTAACCATGTCAAGTAATGTTGACAGATCTTCAATACAAGATGAAATCTTCTCTCTCTGTCTCGCTAGATTCAAACCAAACATTTGTATAATAGTGAGAAACACTTTAACAAAGTCAGCAACTACGTCTTCCCAGGTCGCCTGGTAACTTGGATTAGCAAAAAGAGGACACCTAGAATCTTAAAAGAGAAATGAGACGGTAATATATAAGCACAGAAATTTATAAAACAAAAAAATTAAAAAAGAAAAATTTTGAAAGTTTATTACTGAAAAGAAAATAGAATGCTTAAGTCAGCAAAACTAACACAGAAAAGAATCAAAAATTTCAAGCAAATAACGGTTCATCTTAAACCATAAAATTTATTCCAACTAAAACGACGAACACAAACCACAGCAACATTACCCTGCGTCAAGTAAGGGCGACATTACAAATAAACGCAATGACTCCATAATTGGGGATGACAGAGGTACTCTCCCAAGAACATGATCGTCACTAGGCAACAGAGCAAGTTGTAACAAAGAACGAGAAACAGCACAACTATCATTCAAACTAAAAGCTCGAAAGTAGCTCTGAAACAATTGAGTACGGATGGTGAAATACAATAAACTGCATTATAAACGAAAGTTATGTAATCAACACAGCCATTTTATACCTTTAATAAACCAAATCAACTTACTAAAGTCGACTCAATTGTCGTAACCTTGAAGGGCAATTCGTTTACTATGGATGAAATACGACCACAAAGTTTCTTTAAATACTCAAGACCGCTTTTCCGGCTTAACATTGCAGATTTACGTGGAAACGTGGGAGGCAGGTGACGCCTGTTTATCCCTGGCTCAAAGCCCGGTAACCAAGAAAAATCGCCGAAAATGAGATTAAGAAAATTAAGTTCCAAGTAAACTTCTAAATTTAAGCCCCAACAAGTACAATGAATTAATAATTCAATTAAAGTGAGTAGTACACTACAATAAGTAAAAAGTAAATTCACTGTACCTGAATAACATAAAAATTTGCGACAAATCAAATTACCACATAATTCAAAGTTTGAAAACTTTCAAGCAAAAAGTTCTTCTCAGACACTAGAACAAATTTGAAAATTACTGCAAGTTCACTGCCAAAATGATCTAGATTTCACCACTCACCATCGTCCGAGCCTTTCGGAGGTTTCAAGCCTAGTGACAATGTCGATTCAATCAGGTCACAAAAATTACAAGCTATCTTCAAATGTGCTGCAGCTTCAGAGAGATTAGGACTGGAAAATAGACTTATAATAAGAAAAATTAGCTAACATTAGTTTACAATTTGAGATAATTAGACCTGAAATACAAAAGAAATGGAACAGAGCGAATAACTTGCACAAATTTTGAAGGAGGGTCATTAACAGGAGTCGGTAGAGGGGGAACGACAGCATTCAAAGTAAGTATGATATATCGCATAAATGATATCCGATAGTGAACAGCCTCCAACAATCCAGTCTCTTCAGACTTCTGCTGCAAAGAAAGTGGTTGTTGAGTAAAAATGGCTTCCTGTATGAAAAAATAAATCGAAATTTTTCATTTTTTGAATTGGTAGTTGGAATTAAGTGTTAGAAATGAGAAAAACAGAGAGTAAAATACAACAAAATCTATACTTATTTATCAGCAGTTTCTAGACTTCCCGGCTTAATAATGAAGAAAAGATTTCAAAGTGCAGAAGAACTAGATGTAGAGCTTAATTTGCAAAATATTCAAAACTTATATAACAAACCTTACAAATGAAGAAAATAATATAACAAATACTTTCTCTTTACGGAATATTATTACTTAGCAAAATTCCAGCATGGAGCTTACTCAACGTTAAACCAGAAAAGCCCAAACTGATTCTGTTTCTTATAAAGCTGCGTTCTGTAAACTACACAAAAAGTAATGAGTCAGGATCCTAAAAGATAAGAAGCCTTAACTACCCTCATAGATGAAGAGAAAGAAACCCGAATAGAACGTTGGATTGCACTCTCAGAGGCTTTCAAGAACGGCAGAGCGTTCGTCGATGTCGATTTCTTCAAGTCAAAGCAATGGCTATTAAAATCCTCCTGAAATGCAAAATGGAAAAGACTACAGATAATGAAAGAATATCACAGAGGGCTTCGTATATCAGCACCTGTAGATGAAATAAAAACTTAAAGACGACTAAAGTTTCAGCAGTTCACAGACCTCTTCAAAAACAGCGGCTCCGAGGACTATGTCCCTGAAAATGGTAATCAGTTCTAAGATGGCACGGGAAAACCCTCCAAGATGAACGTCGGCTATTGAATCAACGTCATGGAGACAAACGCAAGTAAAGAGCTGTAAAAAAGTTGACTAGAAGGGTCAAATTAAGTGAAAAAAAACTTTCTTCTCATGCATCAGGAAGAAATAATGATGGCATATTTACAGTTTGAGCTAAAGAATTTCCTTCCAGCCAAGACATCATAGAAGCAAGCATTGCATCCATGGTAGCAATCATTTCAGGGAACGGCATAGAAGCTACATTAAGTTTCCCTGAAGCAACAAGTTTCTCGAAACAGATTGAATTATCAAACGGTACCATACCAATATCCATTTTCGGGTCCATCAATTCTAAAAAAATCAATTCATACTGACAGCCACAGGTATAATGACATAGAAATTCAATAAAAAGTAGAGCGGTTTTGAAAATTCTTTCCAAAAAATATTAAAAACAATCATAAATACTTCCCAATATTACTCCTTCGTGTTAAAAAAAAATTGAAAATAAGATAAGAATTATCGTTCGCTATGCACTGTAAACCCAATAGAGAAGAACTGAAACGTACCAATAGCACTCATTGCATCTACAAGATGAAAACTTGATGAGTTAGATTCATCTTTGTACATCAAGAGTTCCCCCAGCTTGAGCTCTAAAATTCTAGTAACATTCGAAGAGAATTAACAATGAAGTCAGAGACTGTACGTAAATACGCTGAAAAGAATATACAAGCTAGGAAAAAATTCAGCTTTTTAAACAAGTTATAAAATTATCCTACTTGACGCTTCGGCAAAGAACTCTTTGGTTATGTCCACTGAGCCATAACTGCATCCTCCCAGAGAAGCTGTATGAACGACTGACCCTAACCTTTTGGGAAAAAATGACTGAAGTGGCAAACTATCTACTTCAAATGCTTCCTCATCATTCATCGCCCTGAAAAGCAACAAATTTGAACGCCTTAGAAAGTTAAGGAATGCAACGATCATTGGAACACAGCATAACTGTTTAATCCCGATAATAGACCATAAAAACTTTAAATTCTCAAGCCAAATTAAAACACAATGACCTCACAGAATAATTAAAAAGTTTGTTTTTACTACACCAACATCCTGAAATAAACAATACCACGCTTACTCGGAAAAAAAGAAAAAAAAAAAAAGAAGACATCACTTTAGAAAAAAAAAACTCAGGACCTTAATACTGTCCACATCACCCCTACTATTTAACCTTAAGCCAAACAGAACACCTCTCGTCCTCATTGCCACGCCTCACCAAAGTGAGTTAAAACAAACAGCACAGAAAAAATTTCAAAACCTCACACTCACCCACCCTTATCAAAACAAAAAGCCCTAATTGTTACTTCTCACAAGCAACATATTAAAGTCAAAATGAATATCACTCCGAAATCACAAACAAAAATATTTTATCGCATCGTTTATCAACGACCTAATAAAGTGGCAGTTTTAAATCACACCTCAGAAATAAAGGAAAATTAATGCAACACTGCCAAACAAACAATCCAACATTTTATACTTATTGCATTTGGTATTTTAAAAACATTACAGGTTTTAAACAAATATTGGAAAATTAACGCTTCACAATGAACTACTCTTAAACAACTGGAAAAAAAAATGCAAAAATTACCAACAAACGGGAACAACGTCAAAAACCGTTATTTTATTAACAAACAGAACTCTGTAAAATTTGAACCGATGAGAACAAAGCGTAGAGCAGCGCTTAGTCTCACCACTCAATAATGGCACTTGCTTAATATTAAAATACACATTATATACATAAATTATAGAACAAGCACTTCATCAACTGGAAAGCTAAAAATGCCCAGTAAGACCACATAAACAAACTGAAATATACGGAGATCAAAAAATTTTGAAATTATAAGTGAAACAGTTGAACAGTAAGGTCACTATTAAAAAAATAGACAGATAAAAGTGAAAATAAGCACATAAAAATAGCAAAACTTTTAGAAATCTGGCATCATTAATCGCATAGACTTATTTTCCAATAATCGTAAACTATCCGCTTGAGACTCCCGAATTTTCTCCAAATCCGCTAAGAAAATAGCTTCATTTGCAAGATTCAGGTCAGACATTATTTCGTCTTTCCTAGCCATATAAACAACTACTGGTGCACCAGTCAGGTTTTTTACATTTCTAATCGCTGCCTCTTCCTCAGCACGATTTTGCCGAAGGCATCCTGAAATAAGCATTTGTAAATAACGATGACAAAAACAAAATTATTATTGTTATTATTATTACTCTTATTATTATCAGTAGTAGTACTAGTAGTACTAGTGGCAGTACTCCACTATTGCTACTATTAAAGTAATTAAAATATTACTGTCGGAAAAACTTCGGAGGTTCTCCTCAGCTTTTGCAATCTTAGACCTCAGATTATTAATTTCGGCACAAATTTCATCCTCAAGTTTTTCACGAATAAGGTCGTGTGTGCGCATAGTGTCTGCTTCCATGTTGTGGAAATTTCCCACAGACTTCCTTTTCAAGGACTCCACTCGAAGATCACGAACAGCCTTGTTATACTTTAAATAAACTAGTGTGATTTAAAGCAGGTGTATTAAGTTGCATTTTTACTACACGACTGGTCATTGCCAAAAACAGAGGAATAAGAGAAAAATGTAATAAAGTGAAGCAAAATAAAAAGTAACTAACAAAGAGGACGGAGCCAAAAAATTGAAAATTATAATTAGAAAAATATGAAGTCCCTGGTTTAAGAATTTAATTGAAAGAGTACATCAAGCTAATAAGGGAAAAAAAAGATTAGAAATTCACACTCTATTCTAATGTCAGTACTTTTATTGATATGGTGTAGGTTTGTAATACAATCTATACCCAAACCTGAATTAGAAAATTTCACATAAAAAACAAACCAACGTTCTCGCACGGTACTCTGCAACTAGTACTGCTTTCTTCGCCAAAAAATCTGGAGCAGTTTGGTTAAGCAACTCTGCTTGTCTCGCCTCTAACTGAACATATTAAAATTTAGCTTCTATTAAACAAAAATGACAATTAAAATTAAAAAAATTCATTCCATTTGTACAAAAAAATAATAAAAACTCCTTCTACACATGAAGAAAAGCTAGAAAATCAAAACACTGAATAAAAATAATTTAAACATCAAAACTACTAAAGGAGCCCACTAAAAAATTAACACGAGCGCCCTTCATAAGCACTACAAACAATTTAAGACGATAAATCAGTAAAGATGCACTCAAAACAACTCTAGAAAGATTTTTTTGAACCATATTTCCTAGCAAAACATAGATTAAAAGCTAAACAACTCTGTCGTGAAATTCAACACCGAAGCATACAGTTTTAGCTAAACAAAAAACCAGTGTACTTCAGAACATAAAAAATGTTTCTTAAGTTGAAAACTTCTGAAACTACCTGTTTCATCTTCTCATCATAAAGCCTCTTTTTTGTCGTAACAAAGGCCTTTTCCAGCAAAATTATTTTGCGCATACATTCCTCTCTTTTTCTTTCATATGTTACCGCGTCAATTTCAGTATCGCTATCTGATTCCATTACGCGATTGTCGGTTGGATTTGAAGAACAAGACTTCTGCTCACACTGGCTATTAGCCAACGTTCCAGATTCAGTCATCTTGATTAGTAAGAAAAATCCAAGAAAATAATTGAATAAGCATATTTGTATATATATATATATATATATATATATATATAT